TCTGTAATTCAGCATTGCGATTTGCACTCCCGGGCTGCGAGTGCCGACGCTGGCTGGCTGTCTGCTGTCACCCAAAATCACCACGCTGCAGCTCATGGGACTTGTTTCCACTCCAACACACCCTCTTCCTCCTCTCCTTTGAGGAAGGGAAAGCGAGGGAGGTAGCAACAGTGCCGTTAATTAATACATTAACAATCAAGGGGGGCTGAGATCCTACCAGACCACCTACATCTCCCTCCAACCTCCATCCAAGACGCTCAGTAAAGCTGTTTCTTACATGGATTTGGCTTCCAAAAAAGAGGGCTTTCTAGAAAACAGGGTACTTTGCCTTCAGCAAATGAGGAATTTGCTAATAGGTGACATATTTTTCTCCTGGTTCAATTCTCTGCTTTGATTCTACAGGTCTGAAATTCGCCCCAAATTATTTTTCCACAGTCTCTTCTGTCATGCGTACCTCAGCCTCTAACATCAGCTCTAGCAGCCTGGTGCGGCTCGTATGGATGCCACTGGAAAGCCTCTCTTTTCAGCAGAAAGCAGACAGGGCCACCAGCATCCTTGTAAATGGAATTAGTCTACTGAAGGTGTGTGAATCACTTCTAATATCCATTTGAACAAGTTGAATAAAATACTCTAGTGAATAAGGTTAAAAAACTGTACTTTCGTACAAAAGACAAAATGCAGCTCTTGTTTGAAACACAATTTGTGAAAACACCTAGGAAAATGGAGTGCCAGATTAATACAAACCCTGTGAAGAATGCAGAAAAAAACTCCTTGTGCTGTGGGAATGATTTCTCTGAAGTGCAGGCTAAATGCAGAGGCAGCCACGGAAAACAGAAAAAATGCGCCCACAGAGGAACACGAGACTAGCGATATCACTTTGCTTGGTGTTCAATATTGAAAATTAAAAATAGGCTACAAATTTTAACGGCAACAGTTTTTAAGGGGATCTTCATTCATACAGCATATTAGCTGGGTACTAGAAAGTCGTCTTTCGTACCACTGTGAAATGGATTTCCGTTTATGAATAAATGGTGTTTGACTGAATTTCTGTGCTTACGAAATAACCCATCAAAGGAGGCACATTAGGGCAGGTGGGGCTGATCCGGACTAACCTGTCTGAGCCCAGCAACATCTCCTGCTGCTGGAGAGGAGCTGTGGGGATTGTGGCAGCCCCCTGTAGCCAGTGGTGGGTGCCCACTCCTGGGTTGGTCACCAGTACAGCTGCAAAACTGGTGAACAAGCAGAAAGCCGTATGCATCGGTGGGTCTTAGCTGGACTGATGCCACTGTTTACTTTGCCAAGACACAGCTTTTCCTTTTCTTTCTTTTCTTTCTTTTCTTTTTCTTTTCTTTCTTTTCTTTTTCTTTTCTTTCTTTTCTTTTTCTTTTCTTCCTTTTCTTTTTCTTTTCTTCCTTTTCTTTTTCTTTTCTTTCTTTTCCTTTCTTTCTTTCTTTCTTTCTTTCTTTCTTTCTTTCTTTCTTTCTTTCTTTCTTTCTTTCTTTCTTTCTTTCTTTCTTTCTTTCTTTCTTTCTTTCTTTCTTTCTTTCTTTCTTTCTTTCTTTCTTTCTTTCTTTCTTTCTTTCTTTCTTTCTTTCTTTCTTTCTTTCTTTCTTTCTTTCTTTCTTTCTTTCTTTCTTTCTTTCTTTCTTTCTTTCTTTCCTTCTTTCTTTCTTTCTTTCTTCTTTCCTTCTTTCCTTCTTTCCTTCTTTCTTTCCTTCTTTCCTCTCCTTCTTTCCTTCTTTCCTTCTTTCCTTCTTTCCTTCTTTCCTTCTTTCTTTCCCTCTTTCTTCTTTCCTTCTTCCTTCCTTCCTTCCTTCCTTCCTTCCTTCCTTCCTTCCTTCCTTCCTTCCTTCCTTCCTTCCTTCCTTCCTTCCTTCCTTCCTTCCTTCCTTCCTTCCTTCCTTCCTTCCTTCCTTCCTTCCTTCCTTCCTTCCTTCCTTCCTTCCTTCCTTCCTTCCTTCCTTCCTTCCTTCCTTCCTTCCTTCCTTCCTTCCTTCCTTCCTTCCTTCGTCCCCTCATTCATTGTTTCCTTTCCTCTTCTCTCCTTCTCTCCTCTTTTTCTTTCTCCTTCCTTCTTTCCCTTGTTCTTCTTCTTTTCCTTCTGTCTTCCTTTTTCTCTCTTTCCTCCTCTCTCTCTCTTTCATTCGTTCCTTCCTTCTTTTTCTCTCTTGTTCTTCCTTTCTTTCTCTCCTTCTGCCACTTCCATACTGTTTTCTCCCTTGTTCTCATTCTCCATTCTCTTTTTCTCTCACACACTCCTTGCTCTTTCTTTTTTGCCTGTTTACTCACTAACCCTGTCTTTCTTTGATCCCCTGTCTCACAGCCTCCCCCCCCCTCCCCCCCGCCCGCCTTTTTCTCCCTCGCCTTCTTTCTCCCCATCTCCCCTCCTCCCCGGCACGACCGGGGACCCGGCCGGGGCAGCCGGTGCCGATGCGGTGCCGGGGCCGCCGGTGCAACCCCCCCGCGTTCCCCTGGGGGGCAGCACACGCCGCGCAGAGCCCCCGGCCCGGGCAGGTGAGCGCCGCGCCCGCCGCCGGGCACCGGGGAACCGGCACCGGGGAACCGGCACCGGGCACCGGGCAGCCGGCGTGTGGACAGCCCCGCGGGAGGGGAAGGGCTCCGCTCGTTGCTCTCGGGTGCTCGCCAAAAGCTGCGGAGGACAAGCCGACGCCTCCGCGGGCAAACGCGGCTCCCGGAGCCCCGCGGGGGAAGCGAGCGGGAAACGCGCCGTGCCCGGGCAGAGGGAGGGTTTCCCCCCGTCCCTCGTCCTCTCCTACTTGAAAGGACTCCTCTCTTTGCGCTCCCCCGTTTGGAAGCTGGCTATTTTTCATAGTGATGATTTTTTTTTTTTTTTTCTTCCTGCATTTTGAAGTTCGGGCTTTTCCGAGCCCCTTGCTTTAGTCTCTGTTAAGTTCCCAGCTGCAGCAAGCAAAGACGTATTGCTGCTCCTTGGTTTTCTGTAGAAATTCATCTCGGTAAAGTTTTCAGCCGAGGAGAGGTAAGATTCAATCAAAGTTGTTTCTCGAGAGCGTACCAGGCTTCTAGGAAGGGACAGCTCTAGGACGCCGCAAGGGTGGCTTTGGTCGAGCTTTTGCATTTAAAAACTCCTGCCTGTTAAAAAGTTATATTGTTTAATAAACCTCGTGTGCTTGTGTACGCTAAGATAACGCCCTAGTTTTTATGAGAAATATGATTTATTTGAAAACCGAAGATAAAAACGTGAAGTCGTTCTCAAATTATTCCAGGAAAAAAAAAAAAAAAGTTTTCTCGGTGGTCGTACATTTACATGAAAAGTATCAACAGACTTCGCAGAATTTACTGTTGGTTTTCATTAAAAAAAAAAAAAATAAATTCCCTGGACGTTTGCGGGGTTGATGAAACCTTCCCAGAACATTTGCATTTATTTCCATAAAGATTAAATAACAATTTCGAAAAGTCGGCGAAATTTTCCAATCAGTATTTCCACCGCAGATAATTTTTGACCATACCTCTTTGTAGAGGAGCTGCCTCTTATATTTTTCTTTTTTATTCTTTTTTTTTCCACTGCCTATGGCATAAAATCGTTTCCTTTCTTATTAAGAAAATCTCCGGTAATTAATAGTACCGGCGAGCTCCCACGGCAGGACCCGGCCGCGGTCTCGTCCCACGCCCCGGCGGGGAACGGGGAAGGGACTCCGCACCAGCAGCCAGCAAAAATCACAATCTGACTTTGAGGAGGGGGGGGAAATAAAAAAAAAAAAATCTTTGTTTAAAGCTTTACGAAGCCACACAAATTGCAAGGAGGGAAAGGCACAATTACAGTGTAAGAAACCAAAAAATCACCGCTTAGAAATCAGAGCAGGAGCCGGCGGGCTCGGGGGAGGCAGCGGGACGGAGCCCTGCGAAGTGACAGCTAATTCATTTCGACCTTATCTCGGTCTCTTCGGACTCAAATCGATTTTGCAGAGACTTTCTTTTTTTTTTTTTTTTTTTTTTTTTTTTTTTTTCCGGAGCGGGGAAGTGGGGAAATCTCTGTTGCCCACTTTTATTTCTTCGCTGGGCAGATCCACGCTTCTCCTGGGTGGGACAGGGCAGCTCGCAGAAGTTTTTCCCAATACTTGAGTTTACACTTGGTCACCATGCGTCCCTAATTGTCCCACTCTGATTGCCCCTAATGAAATCATTAGAGAAAAGGCAGAGGGGCGGATTTCACAGGCACAAGAAAATCCGCCTCAATGGCCGGAACGAAAAAAAAAAAAAAAAAAGCCACTTAAGTACGCTCGCTGTTTTATTTTTTAAAAATAATCATTATAAAATACGCTCAAACTCCCCCAAAGCGGCAGAGGAACCCCTCAGCCCCCAGCGGCCGCGGAGCTGGGGTGCGAGGGGCAAAGCGGGGCGCGATGCCACTCGCCACGGGGCGAGCAACGTGGGGAGGGACCCGGTGGCCTTTCCGGGCGAGGGACCGCCGTGCCGTTTCACTTCAAATATATATATTTAGAAAAAAAAAAAAAAAAAAAAAAAAAAAAGGGGAAGAAGGACCTGCCCGGCACAGGGGGCTGAGCGCGGCGCCGCCGTCCTTGAGATCAACCTGGCTCCGAAAAGTGCTTCAGAACTTTGTCTTTTTGGTGAAGCGCGGGGGAAGGCGCCGCGGGCGAGCGGAGCCCCCCGCGAAAGAGCCGCTCGGCGCTGGCTCCTTTTGGGGCTAAACCGTTAAAATTCTAGAAGGCGTGTGTGTGTGTGTTGGGGGGGGGGAGGTATATAACTTTTGATGTGCGTATCTATAATTTTAGAGTGAGGCGAGGCGGGCGCGCGCGCTCGCGCGTGCGTGTGCGTGGCGCGCTGCCTGCGTGGGACGCTCGCAAGCGCCGCCGCCATCCCGCCGCCGCCCTCCCATTGGCTGCGGCGGCGGCGGCGCGCTCCCCCATTGGCGGGCGCCGGCTGTGGGGGGCGGGGCCAGCGGGGAGTAAAAGCGCGGCGGCGGCGCGGGGCGAGTTTTGAAGCTGCGCAGCGCGGCCGAGGAGCTCCGCGCCCCCCGCGCCCCCCGCACCCCTCGCCAGGAGAGCCGGAAGATTTCGGGCGCTTTTTTTTGTGACAAGAACTGGGTTTCCGCAAGGCTGCTTTTTCCCTTTTTTTTTTTTTTTTTTGTTTTATTTTGTTCCTTTTTTATTATTATATTTTTTTTCTTTTTTTAAAATTCCCTTTTCCTGCGAGAACAGCCCCCCCCCCCCACCCCCAACCTCCCGCCCCCCCCCAGCTCCGCAGCAGCGCCCGCCGCGGGCCGTAGGTGTGTATACAAGAATCACAGTAATAAAGAGGGAGGGAGAGGCGGCCAGAGACCACCCAGCCCCCGGCGCCCCGAAGGATGCTGCTGCGGTGCCGCTGCTAGAGGACACGCTGGGATTTAGCTCGTCTCTGAGACTCTTTCTCTCTCTTTCTCCCCCTCTCTCCCCTCTTCCTTCTCCGCAGAGGACGGGGGGGTGAGGCCCTTCCACCCTCTTCCTCCTCCTCCTCTTCCTCTCCTCCCCGGCCGCGGGAAGCCCCTCTCCATGATGCAGGCTCGCTACTCCGTCTCGGACCCCAACGCTTTGGGAGTGGTGCCGTATTTAAGCGAGCAAAACTACTACCGGACGGCGGGGACGTACGGCGGCATGGGCAACCCCATGAGCGTCTACCCGGGCCACGCCGAGCAGTACGCGGCGGGGATGGGGCGCTCCTACGGACCCTACCACCCCCACCAACCCGCCGCCCCCAAGGACCTGGTGAAGCCACCTTACAGCTACATCGCCCTCATCACCATGGCCATCCAGAACGCCCCCGACAAGAAGATCACGCTCAATGGGATTTACCAGTTCATCATGGACCGCTTCCCTTTCTACCGAGAGAACAAGCAGGGCTGGCAGAACAGCATCCGTCACAACCTGTCCCTCAACGAGTGCTTCGTCAAGGTGCCCCGCGACGACAAGAAGCCCGGCAAGGGCAGCTACTGGACCCTGGACCCCGACTCCTACAACATGTTCGAGAACGGCAGCTTCCTCCGGCGCCGGAGACGCTTCAAGAAGAAGGATGTCTCCAAGGAGAAGGAGGAGGCCCGGGAACGGCTGCTGAAGGAGCAGCCCAAGCCCCCTGGGCTGCCCGGCGCCGACCTCCCCAAAGAAGCCTCCTCCTCTTCTTCCTCTTCCTCCACCTCGGCGCCGGTTTCCGAGAAGAAAGTGGTGATCAAGAGCGAGACGGCGTCTCCCGAGCTGCCGGTGATCACCAAGGTGGAGACGCTGAGCCCGGCCAGCGGCGGGGCTTTGCGGGACAGCCCCCGCAGCGCCGCCTCCCCCCCCGCCGCCGCCTCCCCCGAGGCCTCGCTGCCCGAGCATCACCCCGCGGGGAACGGGCTCCCGGGTTTCAGCGTGGAAAGCATCATGACCCTGCGGACTTCCCCCGCGGGGGATCTCAGCCCGGTGAGTGCCGCCTCGGGCAGGACGGGAGCCGCTATGCCTTTGGGCTACCCAGCGGGGCAACCGTCGGGCTACAGCGCGGCGTGCAGCCAGGCCCTGGACACTAGTGGGAGCTACCACTGCAGCATGCGGGCGATGAGCCTCTACAGCGGCGAGAGGCCGGGCCACATGTGCGTCCCCCCCGCAGCGCTGGAGGAGGGTCTGGCCGAGCATCCCACGGGTGCCCCGTCGCCCCTCGGGACCCTCAGCTTGCCCGCGGGGCAGGAGGGTGCGCTGGGGACCGGGCACCCCCACGGCGGGGCGGCGGGGGGGGGCGGCCAGCCCCCCGCCTCCTGGTACCTCAACCACGGGGCTGAGCTGAGCCACCTGCCCGGCCACACTTTCGGCTCTCAGCAGCAGACTTTTCCCAACGTTCGGGAAATGTTCACCTCGCACCGGCTCGGGATGGAGAGCGCCTCGCTCAGCGACCACCAGGTGAGCAGCAACTCTGCCTGTCAGATCCCCTACAGATCCGCGCCCTCCCTATACCGCCACGCCGCCCCCTACTCCTACGACTGCACTAAGTACTGAGTAGCCGCGACCCCCCGCCTAGGGCCACCCGCCAAAAAAAAAAAAAATTATTATTATTATTAATAATAATAATTATTAAAAAAAAAAGATCAGGAGAAATAAAACCACATCAAACGCTTCAGACGCAGGAAAATAAAAATAAAAATAAAAATCTGACCGCTTCCCCGTGGAGCTGGGGGCCACAGAGTTTGTAGATCCCAAGCCCCAATTCGGGCCTCCTTAAATTCCAGGCAAGTAAATTCTACTTGAAAAAGGGGATGTCTCCTAAAAAAAGAAAAAAAAAAAAGAAAAAAAAAAAAAAAGGAATAATTCTATATATATATGTCTATCTAAAAGTGGCAAATTTTATATGCTAAAGTATAGGGGGTCTCAGAAAAATAAGTTATGGACCAATATCACAACAACCATTTATACGTTTTAAAAGGAAAAAAAAAAAGTATATAAATATATATATATAAATATATGTCCTGGGTATTTTTTAAGTTCTCTGTTGTGCTGTAAAAAATGTGTGGATTTCTAATCAGGCTGATTTTCAGAGCCATTAATATAATATTTAAAGTTGAGTTCACTGGATTATTTTTGTCTCGCCCGACGATTCCTAACTTCCAAATTAATGACAAGTGATTTCTTCTTCTTCTTCTTCTTCTTCTGTGTACAATTATGCAATAGAGTTTCTTTCATTTTAGAGCTGTTCTTTTTGCAAGACGAGGAAATAATTTATTTTTTGCTGGTGGATTTTTTTTTGAAAGAAAGAAAAAAAAAAAGACAAAGTATCTGATACTTTTTTATTATTATTTACGATGTGTGATGTTTTGTATAATAGATTTCACCTTGACCATTCCTAAGGACTATTTGCTTTAACCTGCTTCAAAGTTCGTTTGTCTTATGTGGTCCTAATTGTTGTACTTACCTTAAAATAAATCCATGCTGTTTTTTTCTGCTCCAAGTCTGGCGCTTGTCTGTGTATATACGTGTTTTTTGCAGTTTTTTCTCCCTTCACCTTCATGGGGAAAGCTGGTTGTTTTTAAAACAAAGTCGCTTTCCTGGAGCCTAGAGGTTTCTCATTGTGATTATTTATTTGATAAAAGGTTTAGTTCATGTGGAGAGCTGGAAATTACACAACTGCGGGGGGAAACGACTAAGGCACCGCGGGGATGGCTGTGTCTGAGCACCGGCTCTCTCCCTCAATCCCAAATCCTTGGCCAGCTTGAAATTTAGGGAAATTTCCCTGGTCTCTGATGGGGACAAGTGGAGAAAGAAAAGGAGCCATGGGGAGGAGGATTTCTGCTTCCCTTGCCCCGTCCCCGCAAGCGCAGGCCTTATGCGGAGCTTTGCATGTCTCAGCACCCCAAGCTGGCTCTTTCCACGACAGAAACACCCCCACTCCCCACTCCCCCCTTTTTAAAAATATTTTTTAAAATTCTTTAAAGGAAGCCAAAAGGCTAGGAGTGGGTGCTGGTGGTAAGAGCGACCGTTTAAACCCAGACTCACCGAGGAGTATAAAAACAAGGCGGAAAGTTCACTTCAGAATCATTTTACAGTTTTCAAATCCTCTCCTGCATGAAGATTTGGCTGATTTTAACCTTTTCTTTATCTATTTAAGCTCCTAGTTGCAATGCAGGGCACTGACACATGTCGTGCCTTTTCCCCAAATCAACTTTAACCTGTTAAAACAGCTTTAACCAAGCCCAGAACTGCAGGGGAATAGCAATGCTCAAGGCATGGCAATGCCGGTAAAGCCTGAAACAAACTTTAGGAGGGCTCTTTGGGACTTAAGCCCAGCTTGCTGGAGCCCGGCTCCTTTCCCAGACGCTGCAGAGGCTGAGCCCTCCAACATTTCCCGGGGACATTTCCCGGCCGTGCCCTCCTTCCACTTCCCGCAGCCCCCCCAGTTTCCCTCGCAGCCCCGGCTGGGTCAGGGAGCGTTTGTACCCGTGGTAGGCTGTTAAAATCGATTATATAAATTGGGTTTGATTGGGTAAATTTTGCATGCGCTAGAAAGCTGGCAAAAAGCACTGAAACTCTCAACTTAAATGAGAAAAAATGTCTGAGCCTCACTTGATCTGTATTTTAAGGAACATTCTTGTAAAACTCTTCCCATTTTTCCTGGATCTCAGAGGGTGGTTGTTTTGGTTTGGTTTGGTTTGGTTTTTTTCTTTGCTTTCTGATTTTTTTTTTTTAATGCAACAAAATCCAAAGTGTTAAAGAAAGAGAATAAATAGGATGAAGGGGGGGGGGGGAATAGTGTAAAAGGGTAAAAAGAAAATAAATAGGGTAAAAGGGTAAAAAAAATAAAGTAGGAGAGAATTCTTCCCCCGGCCTAAGCCCTTTCCCCGTGGGTTTTCTTCCTGCATGGAGCCCAGTGGCAGGGGAACGCTGGGTGGGTGCCTGTGCTCCCGGAGATGCCTGAAGTCAGGTGGCTGCTGTGGGTTTTCCCACACGTGCTGAGGAATCCCGGGGCCACTGATGTTCCCCCGTCTTCCCCCACCAGCTACGGGCACTGGGCATGCAGGGACCCTTCCCCTCACCAGGGAGCAGGGATGCTGGGGGCTGCTGGGGGCTGAGGTGTCCCCCTGGGGATCTGCAACCTCCCCCCTCGCTGTGGCTGGACAGTTTTGGGGGGGGTGTGCAGGTTGAGCTGGGCTTGGGGTGTCCCTTCTCCCCACACAGCCCCTTGGTGGTGTTTTTTTTTCCCCACCCCGTCCCAGTGGGATGCTCCTGCGTGGGGTCTGCACTGTTCCCTGCCCCTCTCCCCCTTCCCCGCCCCCCCCCCCCCCCCCTTGCCCTGCTGCACTCTGGCTTCGGAGATAATTGAGGATTTGGGCAGGAAAAAAAAAAAAAAAAAAAAAAAAGATAAAACTCTATTGCAGGCCCAGGAGCTTGCAGGATCAGCACCCAGGGCTGGGTGGGCACCCAGCCCACTCCTCGCAGGGATGCCCTCGTGACATCCCTTTGCTGTACCCTCCCCTGGGGGGGGGTCAGACCTCCCATGCCCCTCTCCATTGAGCCCCAGACACCCCCACCATCACGAGGGGAGCCCTTTTGGGTGGGCTGGTTTCCCAGGCAAGGCGAGAGCCAAGTGGGGGACACAGGGATCTTTTCGGGGGGCTGTATTTAAAAGCTGAGATATTGAGGTTGATACCACGCTAGATCTCTGTCATGACAGGTGACTTCAGCCTGGTTGGGGCAGAGGAGGAGGAAGGAAGGAAGGAGGAAGGCCCAGGGTAGCTGCTGCAGACAGCGGTGGCCGGATTGGGCCCCTCAGGCTCTTGCAGTTGAAGGACCAGCATAACCCCCCCTCCACAGCAGATCAGGAGGGCCAAGCTCAGCCCCGAGGGGGCCTGGCTGAAGCTGCTGCATGGCCAGTTGCACCAGGCCAGTGCCCAGCGTGGTTCTGGGCAGCGGATGAGGATGGTGGATGGGGTTTTTTGGGTAGTTTGTTTTTTGTTTCCTTTTTTTTTTTTTTTTTTTTTTTTTCTTTTCCCCTAGCTGTACTACCATTAACCTACAGGTTTGCAGCCCTGTCCAAAATCCCATATAGCTCCGGGTTTCAGGTGAGGAAGGGACAGCAGTTCTCCAGTTTGTCCCCACCAGGAAAGTCCCACGTGGGGTGTTCCCTCAGCCTGGCCAAGGGACCATTTTCCTGCTGCTGCAGGACCCAGGTAAAGCACCATCCCTTTAGGAAAACCCCCAGGCCTCTGCACAACCAGGCACAGAGCTGTCTGGTCCCCCCGTCCCCCCCCCAAGCCATCCCACCTCCCCCACGAGCCGTGGGAAGGTGCCAGCCAGGAGGTTTTGGGGGGATGCCACTAGCTCTTCTGTCCCTTTGGAGGGGACTTTGCAGAAAGTCCGTACCAGGTGCCAAAGGGCTGGGAGAGAAAAAAATACCTGGGTCAGTGTCAAGCGACCTTTCAAGTGTACAGTGAGGGGTGGGCAACTCCCCCTGGGCCAGGCTGTGGTGGGAGTGGAGAGCACTGATTTACACCTCCTTGCTCTCCCCAGGGCTGGGATGCAGCAAGGATTGGGGGCGCACTGAATTACACCCCCTGCTCCCCTCAAGGCAGAGCTGCAGCAAGGAATGGGGAGAACTGATTTGCACCCCTGTTCCCCGCCCCTCCCGGCCCCCGGGCAGGGTTGCAGCGGGAGTGGAGAGCGCTGATTTACACCCCCTGCTCCCCCCGGGGCTGAGATGCGGCAGGAGTGGGGTGCACTGATTTACACCCCCTGCTCCCCCCAGGCAGAGCTACAGCAAGGAGTGGGGGCACACTGATTTACATCCCGGGGGCCGGGATGCAGCAGGAGTGGAGCAACACTGATTTACACCCCTGCTCCCCCCGGGGGGGAACGCTCCTCGCTGCTGCTGCTTTAAAAGGGGGGTTGTCAGCTGCAGAGGAGGGGAAACACGTCCAGGAGCGCCTCCACGCCGGCTCCGCGGAGGAGAGGGGGGGGGTGTGTGTTTTTTATTTCCCCATTCAGGGAAGAATCACCAACTACAACACCACCCCACCACCCCCCCTCCGCCCCTCCACCCGCTTCCCCGGCCCCCCCCGCAGCCGTGGGAGCCGCTCGGAGGGCTGGTCCCGGGTGGATACCGCAGCGAGCTCCAGCGATGCTGGCGAGGGACAACAGGCAGCACAGGAGCTGGGAAGAAGGAGTAGAGAGAAAAGCCGCATCCCCGCCTCCACGGATTTCCTACCGCGAAGAGGGGGAAAACGAGGAGGAAGCAAGAATTTTGCTGGGGGAGGGAGCTCAGGGAGCGAGCGGGAGCCCATGTGCCTGTCTCCTGCCGTACACGCGAGTATTTATTGTTTTAATAATCCGTGCTCGGATTGTTCCAAGGGACGGGGGGACTCCCCGAGGTGGGGAGGGGGTTGGGGCGGGGAGGGGGTTGGGGCGGGGGGGGGGGGGCGACCTTCGGTCTCGGCAGGTTGCCCTGAGGGTGCGTCGGGAGGGTTAGGACAGTCCCATCCCTCCCCGGAGAGGATGCTACCGGGAGTGGCTGCCCGGGAGTGCTGGTCTCCAGTGTCAAGAGGAGGGGACATCCTCCCCAACGCTTTTTTTTCCTGCCTCCCTTTTTTGATCTATTTAGGGGTTTATTGCATTTATGGCTCGCCGGATGGGTCCAGCAGCTCCCCGGGGTGGTGGTGTTGGTGGGGGGTGTGTGCACGGCGGGAGAAATATGCGACATTACCGGCAAGGGCGGTGTTAGACGGGTGGGTTTCCCTCCCACTCGTGAGGGCAGCCAGTGAACGGGGAGACACCCCCCCCCCGCACTCCCCCCCCCCCACCCGAGGAGCCACCTCCCCCCGCACCCCGGCGGTTCGCAGCTTTAAGGACTCATCTGCGGCTCCACAACCATCGAGCTGTTTTTTACCTCGGGGGTGAAACCCCTTCACCCGATAGTTTGCGGAGGGAACGGCGGGACGGGAGCAGAATTGGGCGAGAAACTCCACGGGTGAAGGGGAGCTTGAAGGGAGGTGCGGGGAGGGGAGCAGGGGACATCGCCGGGGCCGTGAGGTGCTGGGGACTTTTGCCTCTTCCCCTGCCAGGTAAAAGTCTCAGCGCGGTCGTGAGAGCTGCACTGATGGGATATTTCTTTCTGAAGGAGGAAGGGATCCCCCGCAGGCCTCTTCGTCCCTCCCCCGGAGAAACGATGCTCCACGGAAGAGGATCCCCCCGGGGTCTACTAACGTAGGTCTGGAAACAGCCGACACCTCCAACTGCATCGGAATCCCTCGGGGCCCCGCATTAAAGCTTTTGCATCAGTAAATTAAAAAAAAAAAAAAAGTAATAAAAAAATCCAACAACAGAAAACACAGCCCCAAACCTGGACGTTTACACAGAAAAAGAGCATCACAAATTCCTAATGTAAGCACCGGCCAGCTGTGTGCACTTGTAAAGTTGTTATAATCCCCCTCCTTGTTATAAACAGGAAAGTACATAATATAAAGCAACAGGCCCGCATTCACAAATACCGACCCTCCTCCCCGCGCCGTCCAAATTCCCCTTTCCCGGAGCTCGCTGCAGCCCCGGGCTCTCCGCCGCCGGGCCCTGCTTGCCCGGGGCTCGCCCTCCGCCCGCTCCCGGTGGCCCGTGGCGAGGCGGGGCGGGGGGGGGCGACACCGGGCCGGGCCCGTCGCTCCGAGCCGGGGACCCCAGCCACACCTGAGCCCCCCCTCCTCGGAACTCCACACAACCCCTTCCTCCCCATCGCAGCGCTGCCTTCTCCTCTCATCCATCCCTTTTTATTCCTCTTTTTTTTTTTTTTTTTTTTTTTTTTTTTGTTGTTTCATGCCCCAGTTTTCCTGCGGGGATCCTTGCCCGCTCCTCCCCGAGCTCCAGCAGTGTACATCCTGCTCTGCTGTGTGTGCTTACAGCGTCAAAGGGTGGACGTGATATTTCAAACATCAGATCAGTGCGTTTATATATTGGGTGCCCGGAAATTTTTCCAAATAAACACAGCTTGATTCGACTTGGGTGGGCAGACTTATCAACAGACTAATTCTATAAACAAATGAAGGAATAACCCGGAGACCATTGGCTGGTACCAGCAAGACACGTGGAGAGAGCTTGGAGTTTTGTAGCAATGAAATTTTAATTAATGTGGGTGGGCTGAGAACACAAACGACTGTTTATCAGAGACAATTTATTTTCCAGTGCTAAGTCAACATATAATAGCAAACTTACAACAATTATTTAACTTTTTTTTTTTTTTAATCCTTCTCTTTTTTTTTTTCTTTTTTTTTTTTTTTTTTTTAAGAGCTATGAAGCAGGGACAGAGGCAGAGCGAGCTCCTTCAGGCAGGGCTGGGATCTGAGCTCGCACAAATAGCTCCCCGGTGGACTCGTCCCAGGTTTCTGCCCTTCCCCGTCCCTTCGCTCGGCTCCGAGGGGGAAAACCCGGAGCTCAGAGCCCGCCGGCGATGAGCCACATCTACGGCAACCACCTCTCCCCCGTGGGCAGCCCCCCCATGATGTACCTCCCGGCCGCCCTGGGCTTCGCCCCCAGCGCTGCGATTTCCCGGCAGGACCCCCCGCAGAAACCCCCCTACAGCTACATCGCCCTCATCGCCATGGCCATCAAAGAAGCTCCGGAGCAGAAGGTGACCCTCAGCGGCATCTACCAGTTCATCATGGACCGCTTCCCCTTCTATCACGATAACAAACAGGGCTGGCAAAACAGCATCCGCCACAACCTCTCCCTCAACGACTGCTTCGTCAAGGTGCCCCGGGAGAAGGGACGGCCCGGTAAGGGCAGCTACTGGACCCTGGACCCCCGGTGCTTGGACATGTTTGAGAACGGCAACTACCGCCGGAGGAAGAGGAAGCCCAAAGCCCCGGGGCCACCGGAGGCGAAGGGCGGCTCAGCCCCACCGCACCCGGGGCCGGCGGCTCGCCCCGACGGGCACAAAAGGGTCAAGGGGAGCGAAGCGGCGGACTCGAGGGACGAGGGGTGCCCCAAGCCGGGGGGGGTCGAGGGGGAAGCGGCTCCCCCCGGGGATCGGGCCGCGCCCCGGCCGCCCCCCGCCCCCCCCGCCCCGCCGCACAAGAGCGGCCCGCGGGGCCGCAGCTTCAGCATCGAGAGCATCCTCGCCCAGGGGCTGAGACAACCGCCCCCCGGGGGACCCCCCAAAGCGGCCCGGGAGAGCCCCGTCGGCTGCCTCGGTGGCTCCCTGGTCGCCCACGGCGGTTTCGGCCCGGCCCTTAATGCCTCCCTCATGCTCGACTCCCAGGTGCACGGGAGGCTTTACCACATCGGCATCCCCTTCCTCTCCTGCTTCCCCCTCCACTTCTCCGAGGCGGTATTGAATTTTCAGTAGTTGCCCCATAATTATACCCTACCCACCCCCCACCCTCCCCCCCCCCCCCCCCCAATCTCCCCCTCTGGTCGTTGCTCAGGGGCGCAATGGGAGGGAGAGACCGGACTCAGACCTCACCAAGCAGGTAAAGACCAAAAAAAAAAACCAAAAAAACCAAACCTCCCAAAACCTATATTAAAGGTGACTCAGGATTTCAGGGCATTTTCAAGGCACATCTTGCTGCGGAGCTCTCTTTAGCGATTGCCTCCCACCCCCCCCCGCCAGATCGACTTTTAAAGGTAAAACACTTTTATTTTCCCGTGGGTGGTGGAGGTAAAAAGGCAGGGAGGGTGGGGGGCACGCTGGCCTCCAAGCCCTGTCGAGTTTGCTGTGCACCTTTAATCTTTGCATCCCTCAGGTTTCTCAGACCTCGTTTCTGCTGACCCTGTCGGGTCTCTGATTTTTTTTTTTTTTTTTTCTTTTGAAAACCAAACCCACCTCTTCCATCCCTGGGGGAGGAGGCTGAGTTTTGTTTTGCTGTTAATACCCACGGGTGCCCGCACATAATAATTCCTGATATTGCCCTACTGGCCCAGTCCTCCGAGTGGGTAAAAGGCAGGTAACTGGAGCTGAAATAAGGGCAGACCAAACAATTCAGGCTCATTCTGCACAATCCTACTTGCTTTGAATCAGCACTGTATATAATTCATGGCATTAATGCGAGCTGGTTTCCTGCATAGCACTTGTGCTTCTCGAGTATCGCAACAGCATTTCTGTCTCAGTGATGTGGCCAGAGAAAGGGGGATGGATGAGCAAACACGCGAACATGGAGATGCTGCCGGTTTCTTGCTGGGATCAGTTGCTTCTGACCAAAAAAGACTGAAGCAGGGTTGTGGAGGCTGGTCTTGGTGTTTTGAAGGAGCTCTGATAACAACCCGGGCAACTACCAGGAAAAAAAGAAAAGACATCAGCTACGTTTCTAAAGTTTTTTTTTTTCTTAAAGAAGGAAGAATCCAGACACATTGCAAGCAATCAGGATTTTTTTTTTTTTTTTTTTTTTGCCATAAATAGAGGCTTTTTGTATATTAGTGGATAAATGTCATTTTGGGAAAAAAAATATCTATATTCTCCATTTTCATTATGAAACCAAACCTATATCCAATAAAAATATTTTGTTCAGGACTGTGGCTGATGCGTTGTGAAACACCCCTTGGCTCATGGGGCCAGAGGGCTGAGGAGCGGGCCCTGCTGCTGGATGCAGCAGCAATCTCTGGAGCAAATATCCCGGTGATGGCACGATGCACTTGCTGTCAGGAGGAGGGAGAAGGTGGGAGAGGCTTAAAATAGAGGCCTGGAAGATTGCCCATTCCTTGCGACTGAGATAAGGTTTCCCAAAATGATTCTGTTTCTTCTTCTCTCCCTTTCCTCCATCCTATCCCATGCCACTAGCAAAGCCTGTCCTTAAACTAGCACCTGGACTGTTGGAAATCTGGGTTTCTCAGGTGAGTTGTGATTCAGTTTTTGCAGAGGATGGTCGGCATCAAGCTGCATTGACATCTGGACCAGGAGCTCAGGCAGGCTCATTTCAACACCAGGCAAAATGCTCGCGGGGGGGAAGATACAGAAAATCTCCAAAAGGTGGGAACTGATGTTGAGTTTCCCCAAAGAAAGATGGGCAGATCGCTGGATAGGCAGAGCTAGAAATTCTCACTGTGAAAAAAAGAGAATAAAAAGGAGATGGGGGATTTTTATATAGATTTGCAAGATAGAATTTATTTAAATAAAATCCCATATATGCTTCATATTTCTGACAATTCCTGTTTGAATATCTATTGAGTTCATTCTTTAAAGCTATGGCACCAAATTAAAAAAAAAAAAAAAAAAAAAAAAGAAATACTTGTAAAAGTAAAGGTGTCACTGCCCAGTGAAAGCACCACTATAATTTAGAAGGCTGGGCAAGAGCTGAGGGGGTTAATGCTCTCTGCATGAAATCCCGTGTCCCTGCAGTGCCACTCCTGCGTGTAATCAGACAGGTATGATGGGCAGTTTGGTAAGCGGCCACCTTGTGAGGACGTTTCTGTCCAAGGCTCAGGGCTGACATCACCAGTCTTCTCGGAGTCCGGGTGGTAACATCACTCACGGGAAGCTGCGGGGGTAGGGAAAAGATCCAGCTTAGTTCTTGCCGGGCAGAGACCTCAGACCATCTCTCCACCCGCCCCCCCCCCCCCCCAGATGTCTGCGTGTGCTAGGACTTGGGAAATAGGTTAATGCTGCCTCCGAGGATCTGGAGAGCTGGGTCTGCATCAAACTCTAGAGCTGGTTCCCACAGGTGGGGAGCCTGCATCCCTGGCCCACGGCAGGGTTTTACCCCCAGAAAGTGGTTCTTTATGCTCTCGGACACAAGGTGCTTTATTCCTAGAAAAACCTCTTTGCTTCTTTAAAAACCCTCCCCTGAAGGAGCTGTAGATGTTCCCGCCGGGCGCGGGAGGGCTGTGAGGGGCACGGAGCAGCGCTGAGCAGCCTCCCCATCCCTGGGCGCTGGCAAGCGAGGGCAAGCGCTTGCTTCTGCATGCACGGGGCGTGAGGACAGCCCCACACAGAGGAAAATCCACTAAATCCTTCCCAAAGCAGTTTTAACCTGTGTCTTCAGGCTCCTCTGCTTCCCTTTCTCCTAACATGGCACCCCACCTGTGACCACCCTCCCCCCCCAGTTTTAATATCTCTCAACTCCTATTCCAGCTCCCAAAGTACCTTTTTTGGACACGCAAACAGGGCTTTTACTCCTTTCCTGCCCATACAAGTGTACCCCCTCCACTTCAGGGCTCTTTCTGTACAAAAGCAGTCTTTAGTGGCAGGTCCTGATCAAAAAAAATCATCTGAAGGAGTAAGTCATACATTAGGACTGCAGTTTGATATGTACACGATGCATATTTTTACCACAGGTGTGGTTTTTGGCCATTCAACTTCTAAGAAATGGGAATTTATTTTTTATGAAGCTTTGCTCATGGTGACATTTGATTTTATTTCTGCTTTGTTGTAGTGGAGTGGGACCGAGTACAGCTGCAGTATTTAAAAGCCACACCAGGCCTGATTTTGATTTCACTTGAGAGAGTAAAATTAGTAAAGTTAATGCGGTCTGCACAAAAGTGACACTAACTCAGATGAACTTGGAACCGAGTGGATAGTTATGAGTGGCAATTTGGAATTACTTGGGATCAGGCCATCGATGTAACTTACAGGGGATGAATACCAAGAAAAAGGATCTTATTGCCAACACGCAGAATGACTAACCGCACATGGCTTTTGCACGTCATCTGTTTATATAGAGAGGAGAAGAAGTAATGGTGCAATAAAAACAACAGTGCTTCAGCATGGAGAAATAAGTGTGCATGTCAATACACCAGTACCTGCCATTTGGATGTAGCCGAGCATCCTTTAATCCTCTACACATCGTGTAAATTTTGGTGCTGTGCAGTACAACACAGACGATGTGTCATACAAATACAAAGAACTCGCCAAGCTGCAAATAACTGATGCCAATGGTTTCACACCTGTTCCACAACCCAAAAAAGCAGCTGCTGAACACAAAACTGCCACCCAGTATTTAACTCATCCCTGGAATCTTCCCCCTCTCGGCTTTCCCAACCTCTCCGGGTTGGCTATAAACACAAGTCTGAAATACTGTGAAGAAATGTAGAAAATAGCCTACGATTCAGTATAAACAGCATACTTCTTGTGTGGGCGATATATATGCCTTTCCGTTCCACTGGAGAGGAATGACCTCTCCCAACTGAGCAAGGTTTCACGTCTCTGAGGTCTGCAGCCAATTTTAACTCATAGAAGCAGAGGAGAGCACAGAGTGGAAGAGGCTCAGAGCAGAGGCGTCCAGTTCATGGAGCAGCCTCACTCCAAACACAGGTTTCTTATGAGGGGAACTGAAAATTTGGCATATTAAAATAACTCGTGTATTTAATTTCTCATAAATGGGGCTTCCACTCCTTAAATACGCTCAGTGTGTGTTCTCTTAACGTTGGTCCCATAGCATATATAAAAAATAATCAGGTATTTACACATGAGCAGAAGCCACTGTCAGGACCCGTCACTCGAAGTGCAGAGCTCTCCATGTCTGATTTGCAAGTGACATAACTCTAAGGGACTTTGCAACGGCTTCTACTTTCCACCTACCCCCTTTTAATAGCTAATTCTCTTTCCATCCTTTACCAAGGAAGACACATGATGGAGAGAGCGTCCCTTTTCACACCAGAACCCACTGGGCCCCTGCTAATTGCTCCTAAGGCTGTTGTGAAGAGCAGCCAATGCCCGAAATAAGAGGGGGAGAATGATCTGCTTCACTACTTGATGCACAGTCCCGCGCACCCAGAAAAAAGGTCTCCTGGGAGACAGCATTTTGGATATTAAACAGATCACATATTTGATTTTAAGTGAAAGAGCAAGAAGACAAGATCACAGAATTCGAGAAGTTACAGATGGAAAAGGTCTATGAGGTTATGCAATCCATCAGTCTGGACATTACATAATTGCTCCCCACAGTATATTTTTAGTGCTTTATCCAGACAAATCATTAAGTGCTTTAAAATGGGCCAGATTCCTCAAATGCAATGCGTGCTAAGTCACAGCTGATTTCACTGAGGCTCGTAGCTTGCAGTATCTAATAAGACACCAGAAGAAAGTTTTGTGTGGCCAAGGAGAACAGAATGGTCTCTTCCAGAAATAAATACGGGTCTCATTCAGTATTCTTCATAGGAATCTTTCAAAAATTGGCTGAATTAAATCTCTTAAACCTCATTTTCAGATTATACTGAATAATACATTATTACTTATTCAGATGTTCACTTAGTCCAAAGTAAAACATTGTTAATGTTCATGTGAACACAATTTGTTTTAAGCCAGCTTCAAAGCCGGTTCAGTAAAGCGTAAAGAATGTTTATTTAAAATATAGTTGCTAAATTTAGCATGAGCTTGGTTAGCCTAAATCTTAGCGACATTTTTAGAGAGCACATTGCGAATCAGGAATGCATGGAGAAATAAATAAACTTTCCCACATTTTTGGAAATCGAGTAAGAATTTGCAAGTTATTTCTTGCACGGGCAATTTCTGTGGATTGGAAAGCATTATGAATAATGCAAATTTCCCATTAAACAGACAGTTGAAAACACAATACTAATAATTTTCATTGCAATTTCATTTCAAATAATGCTCCCTCAAGGAGGAAACAATAGCTGTCAGCTATTGTTATAGAAATTACACAGAGCATCAACATGCTTCAATATTTACTCAAGCTCTTTGCAGAGCACCAAAAAGCGCAATGGAGCTGCGATTGGCTACAAGCCACATTCAAACCCCTGCAAAGGAAATCTTACTTTTGAATTAGGTCCTGTGCC